TTCGCTTTGGTTTTCTTGTGGTTTGGTGTCTCAGTCCCACTTGTATTTGTGGGTAGTTACGTAGGGTTTAAGAAGCCGGCCATTGAGGGGCCTGTCAAAACAAACAAGATTCCAAGACAAATACCGGAACAAGCGTGGTACATGAATCCAATATTTTCAATCTTGATTGGGGGAATTCTCCCTTTCGGGGCAGTCTTCGTTGAGCTCTTCTTTATCCTCACCTCCATCTGGCTGCAACAGTTTTACTACATATTCGGTTTCCTCTTTGTCGTTCTTGTCATCCTCATAATCACTTGTGCAGAGATAACGATCGTTCTCTGCTACTTCCAGCTGTGCAGCGAGGACTACCTTTGGTGGTGGCGGTCCTACCTCACTTCGGGCTCTTCAGCCTTCTACCTCTTTGTTTATGCAGGCTTCTACTTCTTCACTAAGCTGGAGATCACGAAGCCGGTTTCAGGCATACTCTATTTCGGGTACATGCTGATTGCTTCATATGCTTTCTTTGTCTTGACTGGTACCATTGGGTTCTATGCTTGCTTTTGGTTCACAAGGCGTATTTACTCGTCGGTGAAGATTGATTGATTAATTCTGAGCATTGGAATGTGCTGTAGCTGGTCAGTCAGTGATTGAACAAAGGTTGTCTAATTGTGCGTCTTCAATACCATTATTATTACTCTGCTACTGTTTCAGGATATTTTTTTTGTTGATTTTAGGCTCCTTTATAAATCTTTCCAAGAAAACACATTGAGATGAAAAAGATGAGGGTTTGCTTCATTAATGGATGGATGGTTCGGTAATTGGTATGATATATATAAAAAAATTCTATAATGCAATGTATTGTACCGGAGTTTTCAGTACTAAAATATTACGTAGTACATCAGTACATGTATCGTACTAAAAGTTTTGGTATATTGATTTTCGGTCTATCATTTCATCATTTTCATTTACCCCAGTGCCGCAAAGGCTCCCACCTACGGTGGGGTAAGGGGGTCGGAGGTACGCAGTCTTACCTCTGTACTAAAGCATAGAGAGACTGTTTCGGGATGACCCATAGTGAAAATCGCGTCCAAAATTGCATGAGCTGATTGCTACTTCATAACAAAGAAGCTCTGATAGTTTAGTGAGCCATTTTGCTTTATCCCATCATATTCTTAAGCCAAAAAATAATGAATCTTTGGCTTCATTCCAATTGAACGGAAAAAGGTATATTGATTTTCGGTAAATACAAAATTTTGGTATGGCATCAACTATCAAGTACCTATCCTACCGTATCAAAAACTTCAGTATATTGATCTAAGATGTTATCGGAATATACAAAACTTTGGGATAAGAAATTCGATGTATTAGTACTATTTTACTACTTGATACAATGTAGATACCATTTCAATTCTTATTGGTCACAAACGTTTGAGTTTCATTTTTGTGAATACGATGTCCTCGGGGCCTCGGGCCGGTTCGGGCACGGGCTGGGCCTAAGCCCGACCGGGCTGCCAGTTAGGAAATGTTGAGCCCGGGATTGGCCTGGGTAGCCACCGGATCCGGGCCGGGCCTCGGGCTTCATACATTTTTTCCCCCTTTTTCTAATTACCCCCCGACCCCCCCTCCTGACCCCCAACCCCCCAAACCACCCCAAATAACCCAAAATACCCAGCCCAATCCGGGGATTTAAAAAAAATTGAAAAAAAAGTCCGGAACCGGCCGGGCCTGTTCATGTTTTGGGTGACCCGAGCCCGAACCGGAAACCCCTCAGGTCGGGCCTACCCGGACCGGAAACCCCTCGGGTCGGGCCTACTCGGACCGGTCACTGGCCGGGCCACCGGGTCGGGCCGGGCTGGAACAGTGCCGGTCCCGGGCCAGTTCCGGGTTGGGCCACCCGGCCTGAGTCCACCACTAATACAATGTAGTTAACTTTTGAATATTGCAAAATTTGAAGCGTTAGAAACTACTCCGTATTAAAGTAGCAAGTATATCAAAATATTTGAATACTAAAATAGTGGTATATCAAAATAATTTGACTTTTGGTATAAACCCATGTTTAAAGTTACATATCCTGATATATATGTATATGTGTATATACTACCGTATAAAATTCGAGTAAAACACAGCAAATTTTAACCACATGATCACATTATGAATATGGGAACACGGATCGTGAATATTAGAAACCCGTTACGCAAGGGGTAGGCTTCTTTGGTATGTTATTTCATTACGTGGTACATTGTACCATTTGCTATGGTACGGTGTACCATAAACATATCCTCGGTACACTTTACTAAATATAATTAATACAATATTAAGCAATTAACTTTAATAAAACACTAAACAAACTTATCAAAGTTTGTTGCAACAATAGAAGTTACAAAACAGTCAACAAAGTTAAGAAAGATTTCAGAATTCCAACAATAGCTTAAAAAAATAGAAAATAAAATACAACTTCAACAAAACATTAGACGTAGTTTCAACTTTCTATAAAAGAGTAAATATAGTTTGGAATAAACTAGTCAATCCTATGTCTCTTTCCTTTATCATTTAAAGCAACATCCTTTTCTAAGTTTTCCTATTGCAGTCCATCTAGTCTTGCACTTGAACCTTCCACATATGCACTTGCAGGATTAATACCTCACCTCTTATTTGGACCAACTTTGTAAATTTCAAAAAATCGTGATTGGAGATGAATGCTTGAATGAATGCATTATAAATGCCGATTTGTCAACCCTTTTACAATTCAAATAATGTCTTTTCACATTGTGAATGTAAGAGTAAGTGCTCCAATTGCTCTCAGCTGGGGAATTGCTTATAGGTGGTGATAACTTCTTCATGTGAAACCTTGCAAATTGTTCTCTTAAGAGTTGTTCTTTTGGAGTTTTGTCAAATTTTTTAGAAAAGCCTCCATTACACCTAGCATAACTTCTCTATCACAATTCAGAACTTTTCTAGGAACTCCATCAGGTGCTAATTTCTCGAGATAACAAAGATCATAAAATCGTGATGATAAGGCAAACCAAAACAGTGCAAAGGAATAGTCATCTCTTCTCCCACCTAACACAATAGCCTCCACTTTTGAAAAGTACGAAGCGTATTGATTAATAACCATGGTAGCTTTTATTTCTCCCAACATGTTTTCCATTTTTCATAGATTTATTCCATTTTCGATTCTTCACCGTCACAAAACTTGATTGGCAAGATAATGAGCTTTGTTATTGCAAGAATGCTATCAACATCATCCCAATTTTTTTCTTCTTCTAATAGTATCAACAACTAATAGTCCAGTTGCTCTTGCGCTTTCATCCACTTGTTTTAGCCAATCCCTCCAAAATTTAAGGGTAACAGTCATAGCAAGATCTTCTCTACAATCTCTTAATCTTTTCAACAAAATATAATGGAATGCAAACCTAGTCTTGACATTTTTCAACAACTCCAACTTTTAATTATCACTAAAAATTGCCAAGGCTCACAAGAAAATACTTCACAATAACTTTCCCTCTCTAATATGTATTCCTCAACCAATCAAGTTACTTTGTGAGATCTTTGAAAATCAATTCAAAGTATGAACACAATAAGTAGACCAAAATGTGTTTGTGTACCTTTTCAATTTCCCTACCCGCTGCTTTGCTATTCCAATCCAGAAAATCCTCAACATACATGAACATTGCACCGCAACTATTTACTGCAATGACATTGATCAAGGGTTTATGTTTGATACTAGACCACCCATCATCTTTGTTGTCTTGTTTTTGAGGACTTTGACTTTCGGTGCAGACCTCTTCAACAACTAAAGTAGTTTCTGTTATTTCTTCATCACTTAAGGTCGTGTATGTGATATCATCATATTGACTTTCTATCAACTTACGTTTTCCAAATACCATTTTGAGAGAAAAGTTTTGGTCTGAACGTAACTCTGAAGAAAAGATAATGAAGTATTGAAGGATGAAGGAAGAGAGTAGTAGAGAGGTGCTGAGTACTTCTGAGGCAAGGCCGTTAAATAAGTATGAAGATGTGAAGTGTGGACTCTAAAGAAATAAAAGTTCTTTCATGCTTTGAGTAAGTGATTGTTTAGATTTTAGAAGCACGAACTACGAAGAGTAAAGAGTTGAGATATTACCCGAAATAGGACTAAAAAGGTTTGAAAATTCCAAAATAGGACTGTCATGTTTTTATTCCCAAAATAGGACCAATTGTTGTCATGTTTTGGCAGTACCAGACTTCAACCATGTCAGTATTTTCCAAACTTGGCAGTAATTATTCCTATTTTGAGAATAAAAAATATGACAGTCCTATTTTGGAATTTTCAAACTGTTTTAGTCCTATTTCGGGAACTTTCCCATTAATAAAGAAGTTGCCATGGGAGGAAAATTCGCCAGAGAGAAAAATAACGGAAGAAACCAATGAAAGAGTGAGTAAACCTATAATAAAAAGGCTCAAACTTGCAAACAATTGCAAATTTATTCGACTATACCATCATAACGACAAATATTCCTGTCCGGACGTCCGGACAGGAACCGCCGTACGGACCGCGGCGTTTGGCCGCCTTCCCGGTGGAATTTTTTGATGAAATTTTTATGACATGTTCTCCATCAAGTCTAGTTTATCCACAAAAAAATTCAGCCAAAAACTCAATCGGGAAGGTCGTCAAATGATTTTTGCAAGTTAACTGGTCCGGAATATGTATTTTCCGGACCAGTTAACTTGTAAAAATCATTTGACGACCTTCCCGATTGAGTTTTTGCCTGAATTTTTTTGTGGATAAACTAGACTTGATGGAGAACATGCCATAAAAATTTCATCAAAAAAAGACACCGGGAAGGTGGCCAAACGCCTTGGTCCGGACGGCGGTTCCGGTCAGGAGCTCCTGACCGGATCATTACTCCCATCATAACATGCACTTGATAGTACTATACAATCGGATGTAGAATATAATTTGCACAACCATGGGGCATATGAAGATAAATAGATATCAATCGTGACATTTTTTATAATTATTCATGGTTAATTAATGACAGAGCAATCAATAACTATTACATAAATAGCATACATTACAAAATGGAGCCAGCTACTCAAATCCGAAACTGTAAACAAAACAAAAAAATACTACAACACATTAATTAAATATTAAAATTTGCAACAAACAAATCAATTCAATAACAAAAAAAAAAAAAAAATAGCACCCTGTGTAAATAAAAATCTTAGAGCGAATTAAAATGCAATTAAGTCATATATTTGGATTATTAAGCGCAAGAGCCTAATTAATTGCGAGGGCGGGTGTTGGATGGCGTTCCGGTGCCGGTGGCAACCCTAGCCACGTCAATGGCGGTGGCTTCCGGCTTCTTGTTGGAATACAAGGTAAAGTAGCCTATGGTGACGGCGACGGCAAGCCCGCCGACGGCCATTTTCGCGGGACAAACCGACAACCTACGTGTCTGGTTGAGCACGCCCGTGTGTTGCTGCCCCGGCGATGGTAACTTTGGTGAGGTTTGGTCGGCTTTTCCGGTAGCCATTCCGGTGGCATTCATAGACTGCGGTTTGCTCCCCGGCGGCGGCGGGGATCGTTCTGCGGCGGGCTTTATATTCCCAGCTGGCCCTACCATTTTCTCAAGAATTTTTATTATTGGAAATAGTCTTTTCAATTGTTTTCATAGAAAGTGAGAGAGAATGAAATATAAGAGCTTCAAAGGTTAGTTACAATTCAGTTGGAATTTTCTTTGGTATGTAAAGAGCTGAAGAATAGCTCCTCCTAAATACAACTGTCACCATAAATATTACAGATAATGTTTCTTTAGAAGAAATTAAAAATTACATACGAGTATGTAATAGAGGTTTTTAGAAAAAATTACTGACATATACGTTATGTTATACTACGTATATAAAATTGGTAGATTCTACGGTACCCATAAGGTACCGTACCTTTGTCCACATAGACCAATCAGAATCATGCAGTTGAATTATTTACATCTAAATTAAAAGAGATTTAATGATTTGGACCAATCAAATGCATTGTAGGTACGGTACCCCATTTTTTAAATGGGTAGTGTCACCTATAAAATTATGGCAAAAGTTACAATGAGTGGTGCATGTCATTGCCATTTACATGTAATAATTGACTAAAATGTAAGATGACACATTTGTGGAAACAATATTTATTAAAGTAATTGATCCCAATAGGAGTAAATATTAATTTTTACCCTAATACCCTTATTCTAATTAATTATTGTCACCCTAGTTCCCTTGGGCAACCAGAGCAGTCCGTCGGTGGCGGGGCAATGCGTTGGTAGCGGGGGCAGTCCGGTGGTAACGGCAGCACACGACGACCGACGGAAGTGTGTCAGAATGGCGGCAGAAACATTCTGAATTTTTTTGGGGTGGCGGCAAATAGAATCCGGCCGGCGGTGGCAATGGTGGAATTGACAGCGGCAACAGGTGTAACGGAAGTGGCGGGACTCGTCTGGAAATTTTGGCGGATTTTGGCGGCCCGGCGGGCGGTGGTTGGCAGCAACTCTGGTGGCAACTCCGGCAGAGGTGGTCTTGTCCAAGCTTTAAAGAATACTCCTATTTGAGGAATTTTACAAACTCACTCCTATTTTTGCACTTTCCATATGTTTTGCTCCTATATGTGGAGTATATATGTAATTATTTCTATATGACTCTATTTTAGATTTTTTTCTTAAATATGACTAAATCCAAGCTCAATTTCTAAAAAGTAACTATTTTTATTTTTTACATAAACAAATTTGAGTAACGGACTAATAAATTCAGATAACTATTATGTCACTATCACATTTTTATCTAATTGTCAGGTTTTTATGTACTAACACATGTCATTGTCGCCGTCACATATGTTACTATTGCAGATACATGTCATTCTGACTCGAAAAACATTTTGGCGACCTTTTTCAATGAAATTTTAAAAAAGAAAAACTATGAAAAACCAGCGAAAGTTTCCGGCTACTTTCCCGAAAAAAAAAGTTGCGGATTCTAGCAACGTTTGAGCAGGTGAGTGATAAATGACAAGGCAGAGGTTGGAATTGAATAAATTACAATGAGAAAATATTTGGATAGTTAAACAATGGAAAAGGGGCAAATAAGCCCACGTACTAACAAAAAAAGATCAAATAAGCTCTTATATAGGAGGCTCTATCCGGCCGTCACCATTTGGGATAGTTCCCAATGGAATTTTCTGATGAACTTTTTTTAGCATCTTATTCATTAAGTCTAGTTTACTCATACCAAATTTCAGCTACAACTTCAATCGAGAAGGCATTCAAATGAATTCTTGAAGATAACTGCGCTTTTAACTGCGCACTTATCTTCAGGAATTCATTTGAATGCCTTCCCGATTGAAGTTTTAGCTGAAATTTGGTATGAGTAAACTATGCTTAATGAATAAGATGATAAAAAATTTCATCAAAAAATTCCACCGGGAACCGCCCCAAATGGCGGCGGCTGGACAGAGCCTCCTATATAAGGGCTTATTTGACCTTTTTTGGTTAGTAAGTGGGCTTATTTGCCCCTTTTCTCGTTATAAACAAAGAGGGGTAATTTAACAAAAAGTTAGTCAATTTTTTGGAAAGAGGAAAATTAGTCACTTATGTATTTTAAAAGGTTAGGTGTAATCTACCTAAATACGAAGTATATGAGTGAGTTCTATTCAGGGCCGGTCCTATATGTTTAAAGGCATATGAGCAGAGAATTAAAAAGGGCCTAATTTGACAAAACAAAATGTAAAACTCTTTAAAGTATAAACTAACATGCATAATAGTAATATTTCAAGACATTTAAAAAATTATAAGACTCTCTTCTGTCTAAACCTATAATATTATAGTGTTAGTGGTCCTTTTTTTAATCGTCAAAACAGATGACTTAAATTCAAATCACAACATTCAGATAGGGGGTAAAACGACAAAAGGATCACAGACAACCGTCAACCCTCGAACCAGACTTAGAGTTAATCATCTCTAAAAAAGCAATATAATTCGCTGATCCTATAATGGGCATAAATGAGCCAACACCCAATCCTAATGCAAGAGTCTTACAACAATATAAGTAACCAACAGAAAAATAAACAGTCTGATCACGAAAAATAAATAGCAAGCAAACAGTAAAATTAAAATGCTGCTTCCAAACCCTAAACCCTCCTGCAATCCATGGCGGGGTTCAAGAGGGGGACGATCCAACAGTATTGTAGCATCTTCTGCCCCTTGCCTCCGGTCCAGATCAGTTCCAACACCTAGCCTCATGCTTCGTCCAAGACCTTCTAATCTCAACCATGAATGACATCCTCGAAATTCTCCACCTACTACTAGGGGTACACAACATTTAATCGTCATATAGGCGATGCGGCCTGCCGAAAAAGAGAGCCTCACGAAAGACGGACAAAAGCCGCACAAGAAAGTCGCACTTCGTCAAAGACGAAAGCGGAGAAAAACAACCCCAAACCCTAGGGGAGACGGTTGCGTAGAGAGAGAAATTCTCGCCTAAATGGTCTATTTTTGAAAACAAAGTTTTTAGTATTAGTGGTCCTTATTTAGGGAGAAAATAATGATGGTCTTATTTGTTCACTTTACCATTGATGTGATGATTCTGAATCATTTTATTTTCAATAGCTAAATCATTCTGCTTCTCTGAGTTCTCATCTTGAGGAGGACATTCACAATTTGACTCTTTTATACAAACAAAGTTTTCCATTGATTTTTTTACATACTGTCGTTTTCTCTAATTTGAAATTACTTAATTTATAAATTTAATTGTAATTAAAAATAATTGTCTAACAAAATCAACAAATTATAAAACCAACGCACAATAGATAACAATCAACAATTAAGAAATCAAACAATCAACTATGAATGTATTCAATTAATAAACTAATCAAATATTTATATCAGACTAATCTTCTTCCAAGTTCGATTTTTATGAAATTTTGTGATTATGTTTTTAGTCAAGTGTAGATTATGTAAATAAAATTTTAGCTTGAAATTAAATCGGGAAGTCATTTAAATATATTACTGAAAAAACTTCCAAAAACATTCATAAAAACAAAGTATTTTTCAATAATTTATTTAACTAGCTTCAAGATTGAGTTTTAAACTAATTTTTTTTGACATAATCTAAACTTCATAGAGAACATATTCATAAATTTTCATCAAACAATCCATAGGGAAGCACCTCAAAACGAGTATTAGTTTAGAGATGAAAAAGCAGCCTACTCAATCTTTTCATTTTTCGTGGACCTAGTCACCTAGGGCCCCTGACCCCTCCCCAGGCCGCCCCTGGCTCAATTATTAACATGCAAATGTATGAATGAACTAAAATTGTTTCTTGGTTCTTTACACGTCATTTATTCCATTTTAAATAGTTAAATACACAATAACATGGTAAAGTAATAAAATGTTGTGTTGCATTTAAACTCTATATATCATCATGTGAAGTACTACAAAAATGCGTATACCGTGCAACCGGAGCATGGTGAGCACCATGCTCCACACCCCAAAACGACTTAATTTTGATCAATTTTAAAAAAAATCACGAGAATAGTACACGCGTGAACAATACACATGTGTACAATGACTTTTTTTTGTCCCAGTAACATGGATGATGTAACCCGCGTGTAAAGATATGTAACTCGCGTTATTGATCAATGTAACTCAAGCCCATCCAAAATGTAACTTTGTCAAATATTGATTTAAATGTAAACAATGAAAAAAAGAGTCTAATTGCACAATTGCTTTAGGTAAAACGTAAATATGTTTTGTTTTTAATATCATGGCCATAAAAAATATTTTTTTAGAAAAGATTTTTTTTTGTTTCAATAACAGGGGTTGATTTTTTAATCTAACTCGTGTTATTACAAATGTAACTCGCGTTGATGGCCAATGTAACTTGAGTGTAAATCACGTGTAAGTAGGATATGATTTGTTGAGAAAAATTGACATGTAACTCACTCTAATAGATTTTTAACTTTAGGTAAATTCTGATGTAACTGCGTGTATTTTCAAATGTAACTGTGTGTATTTTCACGTGTAAGTGTCTGCTATTTTTAGAGCTTTCTTTCAGAGTTTGGTGTTTAGGATTTGAGTTGGGTTATTCAATAGAAAATCCAAATTCACTTATAATTTGGGAAGCACAATTTAACGATTTTGTGAATTGAGCTCAAGTGATATTTGACCAGTTCGTGAGCAGTGGGGAGGCTGGTTTTGGTTTAGTTGTTCTTTTACCTCACGATTATGATGGCCAAGGTCCTGAAATTTCGCCGTTTAATTCCCTGCAGCAGAAGCGGAGCGATGAAGGAGAAGGAACGACATATGCTATAGCGGACAAGGATCCCAGGAGAATAGCTTGGCGGAGATGAAAAGATGATTTGTATTATTTTTAATTAATAAAACGACACCATATTTGGACCGGCATACCATGAGTATGGTATGTCGGTCATACGCTATAATTTGCCGCATTTCTTAGTTTTAGCCAACAGTTGTTTGCATTTAAGAGAGTTGCATGTATGAATGAGGAAAAGATTACTTCTTAATTTTGCCCAGAGCTATTGCATTTTAAACGAGTTGAATAGGAATAACATAAAAAAAAAAAATTCCATTGCCGGGACTTGAACCCGGGTCTTTCGGGTGAGAGCCGAATATCCTGACCAACTAGACTACAATGGAGCTTTGAGCAGTAATAGTTTTCTACATATCTAATTATTTAAAAC